TACCTAAAAAAACTATTTTTCCCTTGTTTTTTTAATTTATTTAAATAAACACACCCCCAACCCCACCATTCTCACCTTACCTTACCTATTCTACAATTTTTCTCTATTTAAATAATAGTTTTTTTTAGGTAAAACAGGGACCAAGCGCGTAACAAAAACAAACAGTAGGGACCAAGCGCGTAACAAAAACAAACAGTAAAAACTTTCCGAGTTAAAAAAATAAATTAGAGACCAAGTACGCAAATTACCCAAAACCATAAGAACCATTCGTGTAATTTACTCAAAATTTATTATGGTCTTTTTTCTTCTTTAACAGATAAAAGTCTTCTTTGGCTCCAGTACCATTCGGAAGTTTTTCCAAACAAATACATCCCTAATTCGCTTTCACACTACTGTAACTAATACGAAATTTCATAAGTTATTCATTTATAATTAAAGAAACAAATGAATGACTTTTTCAACCATATATCATCTATCTAGTTGTAAATTAAAGATTTTCCTTGTGCAAATACAAAAAATAAAATAAAATAATAAAAAAATAAAAAACAAACCACTATAAATGGAGTATGATAATATAAATGCAAAAAGAAAAATAAAATAAAATAGACCGAGTATGTTTGTTCAAAATTGCTTGTTCTTACAAAAAAATAGTGTTTTCTTAAGTACTGTGGATCTAAAATTTATTGTGAAAAAAAGGAGTCGTATTTAAAAATCATTGTTGCAAAATAGTCAAAAAAAAAAAAAAAAAAAAAAAAAAACATGTACTTTTCTCATCTCTTCTTTGACCGAAACAAAGGGGCATTTTTTCTCCCCACCTAATTCCAAAGTTTGCAAACACATCACCTTCACATTATACACCAGGCAACACCATTGACTTCTTAATATACGCTCTAGCTTGCCTGTTATTTAATTCATCTCATCCAAGTTCTTACAAAATTTCCTCAACAAAAATTTGATTTTATAGGATCCTTTAAGCATACATTCACGTCAATGGCGTCTTATTCCACTTCATCCATTCACAAGAGCTTGTATGACGTGTTTTTGAGTTTTAGAGGTGAAGACACCCGTAAGAACTTCGTTGATCATCTTTATCGTGCTCTTCAGGAGAAAGGCATTCAAACTTACAAGGATGACGAGCGAATCAATAAAGGGAAAAGAATCAATGATGAGCTCATTGGATCTATTGAAGACTCAAAATATTTCATCATTGTTTTCTCCAAGAACTATGCCTCTTCATCTTGGTGTTTGGACGTGCTTGTGAAGATAATGGAGTGTCACAAGACAAATCAGCATACTGCTTACCCGGTTTTATATGACGTGGAACCCTCCGAAGTCCGCAAACAGAGTGGGGCAGTTGGAGAAGCCTTTGCCAAACATGAGAATATAGAGGCGGCTGGGAAATGGAGAGAGGCTCTAAAAGAAGCAGCAGATTTGACTGGGTGGGAATTGAAGAACACCGCTGATGGGTACGTACCTCATCATATTTATTTTGCAATATTGAATTCTTTCTAATCTATGTTTAAAAAGGTAATCAACCACATTAAGGTAACCTAGTGGTGTGTGCTTGAGATTTTAAGCACTCCAAAAAGAGTTGCTCAAAGTTTGAATCCCACATGCTTCCAACACTGTTCCAAACATATTTAAGGCCGTTCCAAACATATTTTAGGCCTCGGGTGCGAGAGAGAAAAAAGGCCCCTAAGTTCTAAAAAATTTCATCAACTTTTTTATATTAACTCGATAATTGAATGAAAATTTCTTGTACTAACATTTATATATAATAAAGTATATAAAAAATTTGGACACCCTTAAAACATGAGTCTGGACAGTCGCCCGTATCCCATCCTCTGGGACGAGTCTGCATGCTTCAAAACCTTGGGTGGCCTGATGTTAAAAACAATGTTTAAAATGTTGTATTGTCAAATTATAACTTAAACTAAAGTCTTGTGGAAAAATCTAACACCAGGCATGATTATGTGACTGTTATTACATATTACTTCATATATGATTGTTATATATCTGAAAGTAAATGCTCATATGGGATTTTGTGTAATCTATGTAAGCTAATTCAATCTTTGTTAAATACAGACATGAAGCTAAATTTATCCAGAAAATAGTTGAAGAGGTTTCATTAGAGTTACGTTCCATTAATTACCGAATTGATGAAAACTTAGTAGGCATGGAGACCCGGATCAACGATATTGTATCATCTTTAGGAACTGCTACCAATGATGTTCGCATGATCGGCATCAGGGGGATAGGAGGTGGTGGGAAGACAACTTTTGCAAGAGTTGTTTTTAATAAGATATCCTTTCAGTTCGAGGGTAAAAGTTTCATTGAGAACATCAGGGAAGTTGCAAACACTTCTTTGTCCGGTTTGAAGTTGTTGCAAAATCAAGTCCTTTCTGATGTCTTAAATAGTCAAGGCATCCACATACATAATGAATATGAGGGAAAAATGATGTTGGGGAAGATTATGCGTGGTAGAAAGGTTCTTCTTGTTCTAGATGATGTAGATCATATTAACCAGCTTGAGGCGTTAGCCGGTAACCCTGATTGGTTTAAGCCGGGAAGTATAATTCTTATTACAACAAGAGAGAAGCAAGTGTTGGTAGCACATGGAGTGAAGTTGATCCATAATGTCAATTTGTTATCGGATACGGAAGCAATTTACCTATTTAGTAAATATGCATTTGGGAGAGATATTCCAAAAGGGTATGAAGAGCTATCGAGACAAGTTGTATGTTATGCTGCTGGTCTTCCCTTAACAATCAAAGTTTTGGGTTCGTTTCTTTGTGGTAAAAGTAAGCTCGAATGGGTAGATGCTCTAGACAGACTAAAAGCAATTCCATTAGAGGAAACTCGAAAAAAGTTGGAATTAAGCTATATTAGTCTAGACGTCGATTATAAGGAACTATTCCTAGATGTTGCCACCATGCTGAAAGGTTGGCCAAAAGACTCGGTAATTGAAGCTCTTGAAAGTTGTGGATTTTATGCCAGAATTGGTTTAAGAGTTCTTGAGCAAAAATCTCTCATAACTATTGATGATTTTGAGCGTGTGGGCGTGCATGACCATTTAGAAGAAATGGCAAAGAATATTGTTCGGCGTTCTCACCCGGATAGCCGATTGTGGGATACCAAAGAAATTGAAGATGTATTGGCTAATGACTTGGTGAGGATCAAGTTTATTTTTAAAGTTAGAGAAACTAACATATTTTTTATTCACGGTGATTGCGTTTTGGTTACAGGGTACTGAAGCAACAAGATATATACAATTCGAGTGGGGGGATCTTGATCCGGAAATCGTTATGAAAGGTCTTAGAAAGATGAAGGAACTTCGGTTTCTTGATGTGGCTCTACAATTGTCTTTGTATTGGAATCAGGAAATCAATAGACCCATCCCAAGCTTTACAAATGCTTTAGGCTTGCTGTGTTATAATTTTATATTTAATAAGCTCAACCCATACTTTCCTGATGCTTTACGATATCTGTGTAGGAACGATTACCCTTTTAGTTCTTTACCCAAAACATTTCAAGCAAATAATCTTGTTGCACTTCAGATGCTTGATAGCAAAATTGTACAACTTTGGGAAGGGGGGAGAAAGAAAGGTAGGATTGGTTTATTGATTGTTTTGCATGATTCGTTATAATACTATATAATATCCAAATGCGTTGTTATTACTCTAATATATATATATATATATATATATATATATATATATATATATATATATATATATATATATATATATTCTTATGTTAGGTTCTAAACAAGCTCAGATTCCTTGACCTCAGTTATTTTACATTGAGGACCTTTGACCTTGGGCTTACTCCAAATCTCGAGACGTTTACTCTTCTAGGATGTAGTCATTTGGTAGAGCTTCACATGTCCGTTGAATGTCTAAAGCTCAAATCCCTGGTACTTCAAAGTTGAGGACGCTTGACCTTCGGTTGACTCCAAACCTTGAGCATTTAGATTTTAATGGTGATTTGGTAGAACTTTACATGCCCGATGAATGTCTAAAGCTCAGATCACTCAAACTTTCAGGTTCAAACTTAAGGAGGCTTGACCTTCGGCTGACTCCAAATGTTACAATTTGGTAGAACTTCAAGCTCATGTTGGATGTCTAAAAAATGTTGTCTACTTAGACTTAAGTGGATGTTTGGGGTTTAAATCTTTTTTGTTTCACATAAAGGATAATACTTCTGGTGGAATGAATGAATCACTTGATGTTCGTTCTTTACCGAGTTACATTTCATCCTAGAAAGTTGCCCATTTCACCTCGACAATCATTTGCCAAAGTTTGAGTTTGCATGTTTTCATAAAGAAGATCTACCTTCATTGGCTAGAAATCTCGAGAGGCTTATTTCTATAGGTCCATGTGCCTGCATAAAACTTGAGACATTTTCAAGAAGCATTTGTTGAGAGGTGTGAATAATGTAGACATCCAGAGCGGAAGTCAACTCTTCCATGCTCCATGAATGAATTTGAGAAGCTTCAAAGGATTGGGAAAGTCGGTTTACAAGGAAATATTATAAGAGCATCCACAATGGTGAGTTCAATGGGAGAGTTGAATAAGGTGGCAAGTTTATGTGTCATTCAATGGATGAAACTCTATCATTATGAGATGTCACCTTAGCATTCAATGAATTTGGAGTTCAACGGTCATTGAACTCTTCAATGGGAAAAGGAAAAGTTTTTAATTCTTAAATATTTACTATAAATTATATTTTGTAACATTCTATTGAACTTTGTAGAGTTCAATGTATTGTAGGAAAAAAAATGATATAGTTGTATGAATTATATAAAGATGATGTGGCAATCCATTGAACTCTATGAAAGTTCAATGCATTGTGCATGCCCTAACAGATACTCAGTATTATAACATACGAGAAGACATTTCTTCTCCTTGCATTGTACAATGTCAAAGTTCATGAACATATAATGGATTTCAACTTAAATTCCCTAATAATTATATTATCTTATGTTTACTTTTTATGTATTTTAAGTTGTGTTTGTGTTGCTATCGATCCCAAAATATGAACCATTTCCAGGATTCCAGTAAATTAGAAGTTCCCATGACCAGGATGTAGGCCAAGGTGATTTCCCCAGCTACTTATTGAAAACTATACCAATTAATCGAATCACGTCCTTAATATCTCGAGTTTCCTTAACTAGCTATCATACTTTTTTCGAGATTCATAAACCAAATCAACTTTTCATGGAAAATAGTCGAATACAAGGAAAAGTCACGGATGAGAACACTTCAGTTTGTGGAATGAGATACGCGTGCACACAAATTTGGTTAAACGATTTTTTTTAAATGACAAACTAGCTAACATACTCCTAAATACCACATATGTCTCGTAAGAGACTTGAACCCATAACTCTCTCATGCTAGGCCAAAGATCCTTTGGTATCCGGTCAAAGTTGATGAAGTGGGAAACTGTTTGGAGTCTTTGGATGTCCATTGTTCGGTTTGATAGAATAATGAAGATTAAGAGATAAAGACTACCATTGTTTTATCATTAAGAGATAAAGACTACCATTGTTCAGTTTGATAGGAACATATTCCGCCGCCTCACCCAACTGCGATTTTAATTTTTTTCTTTTTGCATTTTATAGCTACCCATTTTTGTCGGACCATGAGCCGAAATTGGATCAAATCGTAGTCCAAAACATTAAATCGGAGGCGGAGGTGGTAACTTCACAGTACACACCTGCGAAAAGTTACTTGCTATTAAAAAATGATGGTTGATTATTTTTTTAAAAAATAATTAAAATTTTTGGCTAAATTTATAAATTTCTATTAATTAAATCAATCAATACAATTTTGGCACCTATTATTTTTACTCTTTCATCCACTTATTGGTTATCAACTAATTATTTTTATTACTTTCTATCTTTGTCATAATAACATTTTCATTTTAATCTCTTTAATGATATTGTATAATTACTGATTTAATATTTTTTACTAATTAATCCATTTTATTAAATATGTAAATCAATATTATAATATTCTTATCGTTTTTTATACTTGTAACGATAAAATAACATGAATATGAAATATGAAGCTTGTTTTATTTTTTTTTAAAAGGAATTTTTATAAAATATCTCAAAATAAACGTGCATAAAAATTTAATTATTAAAAAAACTTTTACAACAAACTTCTGCAATAGAAAAAGGTTTTAAAAGTAATTTTCCTTTTGTTTTGTAAAATTTCTCCATTAATCACACCGGTGCTGCGTTCCACTGGTCTCCAGCCTTCCCAGCAACAAACATGGCGGCCACCGTATCTCGATCCCCTATCATCCCGCCTCATAACCACCCTATCACCTCCACTTCTACTCAAAAACTCCCATCCCAACTCAAATTCCGGCGATTTCCCATTTCAGTCTCCGCCTCCGCATCATCCTCCATTCAAGGAGGCACCAGCGAAGGAAAAAGCGCTTCTCTTCCAAGTAAAACCCAACATTGTCACTAATCTATCTTCTCTCATCATTTCCTTCTGTAATCTTCACTGCATTTGCAAATTTATCCGAATTAGTTTACTTTTTGCTAATTTTTAGGGCCTCTAACGTCTACCGATCTGACTGGAATACCATCTGAGGGTTCTCGAATTCGTGTTGCTTACCAGGTTTAGTTATCTCATTTTGGGAAATTATTGATTTCACCTTATCTTCTGTAAAATCCATGGTGTATGTTTTTATACATTCGGAGACATCGATTGATTTTATGCTTTATAAAACAAGTTATCGCATCATTGAAGAAGCACAAACATTAATGCTGAAATGAAATTGAGGTTACTCTTGTTGTTTTATTGAAGTTTTATGGTATTTTGACAGGGTGTTCCTGGGGCTTATAGTGAATCTGCTGCAGAAAAAGCTTACCCTAACTGTGAAGCAGTTCCTTGTGAACAATTTGAGACAGCATTCGAGGTTTGTTATTTGTATAGCATTTAATTGAGCCAACTTTTATTTATTTATTTATTTGTTATAAGCTTGATTCCTACAATTGATGTGGTCTATATAGAATCTCGTGTGACTTCTTGCATATAATTTGAATTAATGCATGGAACATTTTAGCCTTTTAGGTTTTAAACTCTGTGATAAAACACTGAACATTCAACCATTAATTCCAGAAATTGCAATTCTGTTTCTTCAATCATGGGCAGTAGATATTTAGGATTCAGGTTGATTTTTATTTGTGAGGAGAATAGCTTTAATAAAAAGTACATTAGATAGTGTTGTGTGCAAATAAACATATAAACAACATATAAACATAGAAAGTAACATAGCTATTTATGCCACTCAATTCTACCAAGTTTTAAATCTATAATTAGAACTTTTATGTGTGGCAATTTTACTGAGGATTTGCATTTTATAAATCTTAAAAGAACAAACTTAGCATCCAAAGTGAACTACAATAAGATTGGATGTAAGGGGCATGATGAGACTGATTGCATAATCCTTAGCATTACAGGTTTATCGCTAAGGTGCTATTTATTTTTGACATAATGGGGACATGACTTAATCTGATAAATTATATGAGTGTTTCTTTTTTACTTAATGCAAAAAGAATGACTTAATGGAGAAAGTCAAGGAAATGAGATTTTTCCTATCAATACTCAACTTTCTACAAAGCTGCCATCATTAGAAAACTGCAAAAATGGTCCTAGTGGTTTTGCTTTTCTTTGGATGGAGTCCAAAAAGTGTTCAACTTGTCAACTTGCAAAAAATGCCCTTTTGACAATTTTGCGGTGTGGTTTTGGTCTCCGACTTTAACATCTGTTTGTTTTTATTTGTTAAATGTGATAAAATGACCTTTTGGCCCTTCATTTTTTATATTATTATGAGAATACTGCAAAAATGGCCCATGTGGTTTGTTGTTTTCTTTGGATAGAGTCCAAAAAGTTTTTAATTTGCAAATGTAGTCCTTTTGAGAAGGCTATCTTGCGGTTTTGGTCCCTAACTTTTACTTCGTTACTTTTACTTCGTTAAATTCCTATAAATGGACCATTTTATCCTTACATTTATCTATTTATTAGCATATTGTCCTAACCTCAAACCCACCATCTTTTAACTTCCCTCCCCTCCCACGTCCTGTCACCGTAGATTTCTCTCTCTCTCTCTCTCTCTCTCTCTCTCTCACAAAAAAAAAAAATCTTAATGCATGTGATCCTCTAACTAATAAATTTCACATACAACTATAAGACGTATCACACACCATAAACACACAACTTCCTTCTGTTTGCTACCGGCAACACTAGTGGTTTCGGGATGAAATCTTGCTGCCCATATTTGTTTTGCCATTTTGGATGTCACCATACTTGGGGAATTTCAGAGACATCAAAGGCTGCTGAGGTTGCCATAATGGAGGATGCTTCCTCTTATCTTGAATCCTTTATAATTGGATACAAGTTTTATCCAACAGACAAAAAAATCTTTATTCCTTATCAGTTAAAGAAGATAAAAGAGAAGGATCTTTTCGAGAACAAGATTCACAATGTTGATATATACAAAAATTATGCATCTTTAGTTTTCTTCTTGCCATATATATTATGACCATTAATGGTATATCGACGAATGACGACCCTCTCATGATGATTTTTGTATATATCAACATTCTGAATCTTGTTCTCGGAAAGAT